ACTGCCTCCGAGGGGCCGGGGCCGCCCCCCTGCTACGCCGGGCAGGAGCTCTGAGCTCGGGCCCTAGCGGGGAAGACCGGCCCGGCCCCCACTTCTCGGCGAAGAAGAAGATTGGTTTTAAGATTGTCGATTGAGATGGCGGGTTCTCTTCATTGCTGCTCTCCTGCGGAACCGGGGCAGGTTCTGAGCCAGTCGCTTACTGCTCGTCCCGCTGGCTAGCAACTGAGCAATGGGCGGGTCCCACGATTAATCATTACCCCGGGACTCTTGCCACCTGCACCTTTTCTTGCTTCCCCCCCCCCCCCCCCCCCCTCCAGGCTGGGGGAAAGGGAGAGACAGAACATATGACATGGCAGAGATTGGGGGGTGTTTTAGAGAGCCCATGGGGGAGTCAGAGGGTGGTACCCACCAGGCGAAGTAGAGTGAAAGAAGGCAAGCTTAGCAAACAGAGTGACTGTGGCCAAAAGAGCTAGTGAGGTACCTTTGAAGGCCCCACCAAAAAACTGAATCAAGAGGGGGGGGAAGGCCGACCATGTCGTCTTTATCTTAGTGGTTGGAAGGGGGGCTCACATGTGACTGAGGGAAAAGCAGGCCCCGCTCCCATTTCAGCATGGGAAAGCCATTACAAAGGTGGGATTTGCTAGAGTGCTATAAACCATGTGGAGACATGAATAAGAACTACCTATTCATCCCTTTATATAACACCTCTTCATATAATACAAGAGTCAGGGTGACCTGAGGCATAAATCAAACCAAAGATGATGTGCCTTCCTGCAAGGCACTGTCAGCATGTGGCACTCCTTACAGATTGGTCTTCACAGATCAACTAGCAAGTGGGATCAATAAAAAAGTGAGCAATTGCATGAAAAATGGTTCCTCCAAGGGTTATTAGCCAAGCTGATCAGGGACACAATCTCATGCTCCCAAAACCTGCCCCACCGCCTTACTGTCAGGGCAACCCTTATCCCTCCTGCCCCAGGGCCACCAGGCTTTTGGCCAACTCATCTGACCTGACTGGACTGGGGGAGGCAGGACTTGAACCCAAACCCACACTCCACCCTAGACAAGTGCCTTAGCCTCTAGGCCAGTGGTCCCCAACCTTTTGAGGTTGTCAGGCGCCAGGGGGCGTGGCCGTTCGCCCACCGGGCGCCAGGGGGCGGGGACACTTGTGCGCCCGGGGGCAGCCCCCCCCCAT